GTACCCATTTTTTGTGCGCATGCTCGGCAAGTTACTAGATGCATGCATCTGATTGGATGACGACCTGATGACGACTCACTTTAAACTTGCTGAGCACGCGCAGTTGATCATTTTTCGTTCGGTCGCCCGAAAAAAAGTGGGTACATGATGACATAATCTTCCGCAGTGTTTACAACGGTCAGTTACGTCTCTGTATGTCTTATCTACTGTGATTCTAGTAACGTCAAAAAGCAGGGTTAGCCATATAAAACTACATCTAAATGTAATAATAGTTTTGTTTGTGGAAACACCACGTAAATTTATTACTGCAAAGCTTTCGATCCGTAAGCCCGGATCTTCATCAGTACTAATAATATGTCAATAATAATAATATATGCTAATCATATTATTAGCACTGATGAAGGATCCGGGCTTACGGTTCGAAAGGTTTGCAGTAATAAATTTACGTGGTGTTTCCACAAACAAAACTATTATATTTTATCATCATGCAAACATACAAAGAACTTATTACATCTAAATGACCAAACAACATTGAGTCTTGTTTGAAAAATCGTCAGACAGTTTTTTATTTCAAGTAGTTACTGAAGTATATGATTTTGGGCTCAAAATAACCAATTGCTCTATGGATAAAATTCTTGCATGACCCTGCTTATGATGTCACATGCATATCTGCCAAAATTCAAGATGGTGGAAAGCTCGCTGATTTGTGATTTTTTCTGTTCAAATATCTCAAGAAGTAATAAAGTTATGCAAAATCGGTAAAAGAGATTTACATATACTTTTAAAAGTTCTTCCAAATGAAATAATAAAATAATATATTGCCGATACCTTTAAACATTAATTTCTTTTGAATTTTCTTCACGAATTATTAAAGATGTGGTACAGTCCGTATGTAAACAAAGTCCATATATACATGTAAGGTCAAAAGGTTAGGTTTACGCTCGAGCGAGCTCTGCTTAAATATAAAAATTTTCAATTAATTTCTCAGCTATTATATTAAAGCTTTATATTTAATTAAAGCTAAGGATTTTTTGCATTTTCTCATCGTATTTTGAAATTGGATTTGTATCGTGGTGTAAAGTTATTCTGGTTTGTTGGATCGTATTACTATCGTATTATTATAGCGCTCAACTGTGAATTTTGGTTTATGAACAATATATTTGTCGTCGTTTGTCATTTTCGTCCGAATCTTGCTGTGTGATCTACGAATCGTTTTGTGGTTATTTTGTATAATTTTGGTGTTATTTAAATGTAGTGTTCATGAATTATTCAATATTAATTATTTTTGACCGTTGGAACTTTTGAAATTTAAATCCCGTCTGGCGTCGCTCTCCATGGCAACAACTGTCTTATCAATAAAATGCTCAATAAAGTTTTTTGGGTATCTCTTCTTTCTCATTTTAACTTTCTGGCTATCAATAAAATCAAAATCATCAGAATTTCAACTCAACGACAGAACATTTCCCCAGAATATCTGTAGCATTTCCCCAGAACTAGTGTCGTTTAAATACTCTGGATTCGCAGTTTTACCGGAGAGATTATGTTGGCTTTGGACTGCAACTCGAGACATAAAACTGTGAAAGTTTAACTATCCAATCAACTATCGATATGGACTACATTTTCAGATCTCTCGTAAAACGTCTCATGCTGTTCTTCTCATTCTTTTGGCTGGTGATGTAGCGACAAACCCAGGGCCTTCATTCCATCCCCCAACGAAAAATCTTGGACAAGGTTTAAATGTTCTCTATCTCAATGCAAGAAGTTTAAAGGCCTTCGTCCCGTCAGATCAAGATTTGTCCAAAGTATGTAAAATTACTCTACTGCAACATTTAGTTTACAGTGCGACGTACGATGTTGTATGCATTTGTGAGACATGGCTGAATGAATCTGTTTTAAGCAGTGAACTGTTACCCGGGTACTCCATCTTCCGTCGAGACAGAGTAGGAAAGGTTGGTTGGTGGCGGCGTGTTGATTGCCGTGAAACTCAATTTGCATGCTACTCGTCAACTAGATCATGAAAACGAGAACATCGAACTTGTTGTTATAGAACTTGCTATTGAAAACAGCAAAACTGCTCTCCTATACACCTTCTACCGCCCTCCTGATTCCGGCCCTGATGTCTTTCAATACCTGAATTTATCACTTCAAAACACCTCCGAATCTACCTGCATCGTCCTTATTGGAGACTTTAATCTTCCAGCAATCAATTGGTCTCTTGATCAACCAACTCCCGCAACTAACGGTGGGCAGCTCGACGAGTCATTCTGTGACTTAGTTGGTGATAATTTCTTTCAACAGTTCATCAAAGGTACAACCCACACTGGAGGAAACATGCTTGATCTTTTGCTATGTAACTGTCCTGAAATTGTAAAAAATATTTCAACATTCTCACCTGAGCAACTAAACTTCCTGATGGACCATCACATCATAGAATTTCAAATTCAGCAAACATTCTGTCGCGCCAAACCAGTTTCGCGTAATATCTTCGCCTTCAACCGTGGGAACCTTGATGATCTTCGTAGTAATTTAATACAGGAACCATTCCAGGCAGTCTTTACTAACAACATTAATGAATGCTGGATACAATGGAAAAGTAGGTTTTTCAATGCAGTACATAAATTCATCCCAACAAAAACAGTTAAGGACACTTACTCAGCACCTTGGATTGATGGTGAAGTAAGATCACATATCCGAAAGAAGTACGTAGCTTTAAAAAAATATCGACAATGTCGAACTGACCATATAAAACGGAAACTACGCGAACTAAGCCAAACAAAATATCTAGTGAGAAGAAAACATCGTGATTATCTAGATAAACCGCGATAACCCGAAATTTTTTTGGTGTTATCAAAAGGCCATATTTCATCATAAATCGACTCTCAATCCCGTCATCTCCTACAAAGGCAAAGTGGCAAAAACGTCTGCCGAAAAAGCTGAATTCTTTAACTCATATTTCTCTTCCGTTTTCCAATCCCCACAATCTAACCATCCTAGGAGTCGTGCCTTCGATTCTTCTCAATTAAAAACCGACTTACAACTTAGAGAAATAACGGTTGACGAGGAAGAAGTCTCTCTAACCACCTGTCCAATCTAGACGTGACAAAAGCAAGCGGTCCTGACGGTATTCCTGCGCGGCTTCTGAAAGAATGTCATCAACAAATTGCCCCAAGCCTGTGTGTCCTTTTCAACGCCTCTCTCAAATTTGGTTTTATTCCATCGGAGTGGAAATCGGCAAATCTGACCCCCATACATAAAAAAGACTCGAAAGAACCAGCAGATAACTATAGGCCAATCTCGTTATTGCCTATCATTAGCAAGATCCTGGAACGCTGCGTTTACTCAAGATTTTATGACCATGTTGCTCACCTCATCAGTCCATCCCAACACGGCTTTCTCGGAAATAGATCCTGCGTCACCCAACTCCTGTCTGTCCTCCAGGTCATCGGACAAGATCTAGACAGAAACAGTCAGACTGATGTATTGTACCTCGACTTTGCCAAGGCATTCGACTCTGTAGATCACACGATCCTCCTAGCTAAACTTCGTTGTTACGGTGTGACTGGCTCAGCTCTTGATTGGTTTGTTAACGACCTTATGGTAGGACACAAAGAGTCGTTATGGATGGTGCGACTTCGAAATGGTCTTCCGTCACTTCCGGTGTGCCTCAGGAAAGCATTCTAGGACCCCTGTTGTTTGTAGTATTCATCAACGATCTACCCGACATCGTAGAAGCCCGAACCAGTACAGCTCTGTATGCAGATGACACCAAACTGCACAAAACCATTACCTGTAATCGTGATTGTGCGTCTTTACAACACTCCCTATCCAAACTTAATCTCTGGACTATGGAAAACAACCTCCGCTTCAACGTCTCTAAGTGCAAAGTTCTCACCATCACCAGAAAGAAAAATCCTATCATTCATGACTACACTCTTGGGAGCCAAAACCTGACTCGAGTAGACAGCAAAAAATATCTTGGAATTACCACCACATCAAAACTTTCTTGGGACATTCACGCGAACACCATCGTCGCGAAGGCCAACAAAATATTAGGCGTACTTAGAAGAACTTGTACCAAATTGATGGACATGAATGCCAGACGAACTTTATATTTATCGTTGGTCAAGTCCCAGCTGTGTTATGCTACAGAGGTATGGTCGCCGGTTAACAGCGTCCAGATCTCAAGACGTGTTGAAAAAGTGCAAAGAAGAGCGACTAGGTGGATAACAATGACAAAGCGAGGCGAACTGTCGTACAGAGAACGGTTATTAGCATTAGATCTGCTACCGTTAACCTATGATCGAGAAGTCAGAGACTTGGTGTATTTCTTCAAATCATTGTTTAGTTACATTGACGTCAATATCGATAACTATGTGTCGTTTGTGAGCGATGGTCGTACTAGAGTGAGCCATATGTCAAGATATGTCCTTCAAAGTAAACTCTGTAAAACTAATACTTTCCAGTCTTCATACTACAATCGTGTTGTAAAGATTTGGAACACAGTGTGCCAAGAAGTCTCACCTGACATTTTCCGTAATCCAAACTCTTTTAAACACTATCTTAAACGTAGATACTATACATTAATTAGTAATGTTTATGACGTAGACATGGCTTGTACGTGGTCATTAACTCGTGACTGTCCTTGCCATAGGACTTAATACCACAAGTAATATATATGTGTGTGTTTGCAGGCAAGCTTAAGAAAGTGTTAAAAATGCCAACTAGTTCTGTAATTCACCTAAAACTAGATCAAAATTTAAGAAAGTTGACCCTTCACAATTACTGAATTTGCATGGAAATATGTTGACATGTCTTAGCACGGTACATGGAAAAACACGGATAGCTGAAAGAATGTATTGATTATTGGCCCCCTATCTATCACCAATGAGATATAAGATATTGACAGTGCAAATATTTCAGTCTCTCCTTTTCAGTTTACTCCGCTTAAAATTAATATGGTAATCTGTATATAATTATAATAATTCAATTTTCTGTAAATATTGTATACCATATATATCATTATTAAAGATGTATGACAAAGCAGTATAACTCATCAAAATGCTGTAACAGTACGACTATAACAACTAATTATGTTTGCATCTATGTCTTTCCAGATGATTCAAGAAATAAGTTGAGCTTCTCAACGATAGAAAAGTGCCTGGAATCTTTGGAAATAATTCCTAAATCTCCAGAGACTGTAACTAGTGTAAGTGTTTATGCAAGTTCTATTTGCCAACATGCAAGCATTAGTTTAATTGTCGGGGACAAAACCCAGAAGGGCAGACATATATGTATTGTTTGAATTGTTTTGGCACAATAAGAATGTACAATCGAAATGTACGAAAGATGTACAATCGAAATATTTCCATATAGATGATTGCAGAAATGAGCAGTTCAATAAAGGGTTACCTGCGAAAAAAGGTGATAGGAAATGTATTCTATAATTTAGGCTGCCAAAAACTTACCCAAGTGATTTGTATGTTGACAGAAAATCACAGAATGTTCAATGCTGACAACATAGAACTTTGATATTGTATTTTCAGTCAAACCAGATGTTCTCTTGCGACCAACATTGCTATATTGTCCCACAATATTGCAATTTTGATAGGCAGATTGCTCTGAGCAATTTGCAAATGACGAGAACAAATTGCAAGTTGAGATTCACAAAAGGTTTGTAAACAAAGCCTCTGATTGGACTATTAGCAAAAAGGAAGCCAATCAAATAGTCTGAGCAACTGGATTGGAGCTTCCTTTTTTCTTATAGTCCAATCAAAGGCTTTGTTTACAAATCTTTTGTGAATTTCAACTTGCAATTTGTTTGCGTTGCTTGGAAATTGCTCAGGGCAATCTGCCTATGTTGTTTGCAAGAGAATGTTGCTCCTGTTCTATTTTGCTTGCAAGAGAACATATCTGATTTGACTGTAAAATATTAAAAAAGGCTCTGTACTACAAAGTTTGATCATTCAATAATTGTCTGACTTCAGGGTGTTTGCTAATAAATAGTTAAACTTTGCAGCAGTATTTTCCTATGCTGCACATTGATAATCTTGGTTGCAGTTTGCATGAAGATCAATATTTTGTTAATGCTTACAAACAACATTTATTTTACAAAGCTTTCGATTTGTAAGTCTGAATATTAATATGTGGAAATATTAAAATAGATATGCACTACAAACAAAATTAATGCATGAGTCAATTCCAGGAGTAACCATCCCCCCCCCCCGGAAACACACCCGGGCATTTGATTTGATTGGTTATGATAGTATAAATGCCCGGGTGCCGGGACAAAACTTGAAGACTAATGCACAGCCCCTGGGCAAGCTGAGAGTGGAAAATGCCCCACCCCGGGGACGATTTTACAGTCGATTTCACGAAACTTTGACCACAAATGTTCGGAACTTCGTTGCAAAGTTCGCAAGTTCGTTGCGAAGTTCGGAAGCTCATATTGGAATTCACAAGCCAATTTGTAAACAAAGTCCCTGATTGGTCCATGAAGTAAAAGAAGCCAATCAAATGCGTAGCTTACGAACTGGTTTGTGAATCTCATTATGAACTTTTGAACTTCGCAACAATCTTGTGAACTTCGCAACGAAGTTCGGAGAATTTGTGGTCAAAGTTTCGTGAAATCGACTGTAAACGTTAATTAAACTTTTAATGGCATATAATCATAGTCATTTAATAACATTATAGTATTAAACTGCTATGGAATATTATAAAACATAAACCTTTAATAGTTCGCTTATTCTTACAATAAATTTCACGCCACCTTGACCACGAGGGCGCAAAATACGATCAGCGCGTCCACATGCGTGCCTGAGTTTCAGGTTTTGCTGCCTTAAAATTTGTGGGTGGGATTCTGGGCAACCATTTGTCAAATCCCCGGGGTCCTCCAATACCCGGACCCCGTGCACATATATATAATATATTTCAATAACAACAAATACCAAACAGGCATATATGAAAACATTTACATATAAGTACCTAATGTACTGTAAACTAAACAATAAAGTACGTACCATATAGTTCATGGTTAGGAGTGCGACATGCGTACTAATATTGATTAACTCTAATATATAATATAATATAATATAAAATCTAATAAACTATTGGGTATTATAATATTAAAGCTAGAAATTCTACAAAAGACTATCGTACATTGCGAGAGTATCATGAAAGTATATTGAAATTATTTTCATGATAGACTTATCATGTACATTTAGTATATATAGGAATAAGTTTTTTGTATCAATTGAACGGAAGGATGAGTTGATTTTGCATATATCTGTTACAAAAGTATTTCGGAGTTTTACAAATTCGTTATTGGGGCATGACATTAAATAGTGAAATTCATCGCCGATTTCGTCTGATTGACATAACGTGCACTTTCGCTCATTGTAGGGGGGTTTGTTATATCGGCCAGATTCAACTGGTAATTTATGTGCGGATATTCTTAATTTCGTTATTGCCTGACGATGTTTGACATTACAAATTACGTGAAGGTATTCCTCGAATCTGAAATTATTCTTAACTTGTACGAGAGTTCTTAATTTACCATTAGAACGACTTTCTTGAAATTGACCTTTCAATGGGTCCTACTAAAGAATGCCCGGGAATGCCCGGGAACGCCCGGGGAAATTCGTTGAATGCCCGGGAATGCCCGGGAGTTGGGAAAGAATGCCCGGGGAAAATTACGTTCATAATTACGTTAGTTTATACTAATAAAATCACTTATTTTATGAAAGATTAAATAATTCTTGTAATATATGGCATTGCAAAGTACTGTTCAC